ATTTTTTTTTTTTTTTTTTTCAAATTATGTTTAACAGAGCAAGGAAATTTTTACAGTATGTCTGATACTATTTTTTCTTCTGAAGAAAGTTTTATTTGTTTGTCCATTCTTTCATCCATCAGTCATCCTTCCATACATTCATTTACATGTTTTAATTTCATATATATTTGTAAAATTAACACAAAAAATGACTAAGTGAATGGTGAATAATAATAAGTGAATGAGTGAATGGTGAGTAAATGATTATAGAGATTTCATTTATAGGTGAACTATCCCGCTAGTTTTCAGTTGGAAAAAACCTAAAGGAAATAAATAAAATAGCTTTTTTTTCTCTCCAGTAAATATCAGCCTTTCTCCTATTTCAGACATGAAACACACAAACGCTGTGATGTACATTTTATCAGGACTTTGTGCTGTGGTGCGGCTGAAGATCTAAAATGATTTGTTGTTCAGCAGGAGTTGCTGAAATGCTGAAATATTCAGTAGATTACACTCTCCTTCCATCTCTCACACTCTAAAGCTGCAGAGACACAAAAGAGAAATAAAAAACATCACTCAATCCGATACTCACCTGTCAGTTACAACCATTCGCAGGAAGAATTCACACTCGCCTCCAGATTCAAACAACTCAGACTCATTCTGATTACCTACCCCTAAACATTTCTGGAGAGTGCCAAATACGTCCTTGGAGCTATGTTTTTTTTGTTTTCACGAGTCCAAACACATATAGGCGAGATAAAGAAGCTAAATTGGCCGTAGTGTATGAGTGTGAATGAGTGTATATGGGTGTTTCCCAATACTGGCTTGCAGCTGAGAGGATATCTTCTGTGTAAAAACATATGCTGGAATACTTGTTGGTTCATTCCGCTGTGTTGAATCTTTGATAAAGCTGAAAGAAATTGAATGAATTATAAAGGGAAAACAAAATCCCCAACTACATAGATCCTACTGCTCAGCGAGAATGAGCTTCAGTGGGTCACACGGAGGGGAAATAAAGACAGAAATACAGAAAACAGGAACGTTGTCTTGCTTCAGCGTGAAAGTAATAAATAAAATATGAAAAGATGTGAGGCGTGTGATTCTAGCTGAGTGTCACACAAAGGGACTACAATGTCAATGTCACCTGCGTGTGTTCCAGTGTTTGGCAGCGAATCCAGACGCTCGCTATGGAAAAACAAAAGGCGTCAGCGAGGCGTATCGGCAGGGAGTCGCATTGATCTCCAGTAAGGAGACACAATGAGAGGAAGTGGATGCCGGTCCCTTCGGTGAGCACTTGTTAATTAATAGCCTGTCTCAGGACGGGATTACATGATATCACCCCTGGCTCTTCATCCAGAGCGATCGGCTGAAGGTGATCTTTTGCACCTGATGAGCTGTAATGATCCTGTTGTATTTAAATGGCTCCTTTAATGGACCCGGAGTGCTTTTGGGGCACTTCAGTGGCCAATTATGGCATTGTAAGCTCATGATACACTGCTCATCAGAGCTTACTGCTGAAGCACAGATTACTGCTGATAAAAAAAATAAATAAAAAGCAGACGATGAGGGTGAGGGGGAACTGCTGCTGTGGTCTTTCTTAAAGAAACGTTGGTCACACTTTATTTAAAGGTACAATTCTCACACTAATGAAATGATTATTATGCCTTTCAGCTCAGTAAACTCTTCATCTGCTGCTCAATAATAGTAACTCATCCATCCCTTCATCCATCTATACATCTGTACATCTGTTCGTCCATTCATGCATCCATCCATCCATCCATCCATCCATCCATCAGTCCATGCATGCATTCATCCATCCATCCATCAATCCATCCATCCATCCATCAATCCATCCATCCATCCATCCATCCATCCATCCATCCATCCATCCATCCATCCATCCATCCATCCATCAATCCATTCATCCATCCATTCATCCATCCATCCATCCATCCATCAGTCCATCCATTCATCAATCCATCCATTAATTCATTCATTCATCCATCCATCCATCCATCCATCCATGCATCCATCATCCATCCAATTTTTCGTTCATCCATCCATCATCCATCGTTTTTTTTTTTAGATTTCACTTAACTCTTAATATTTTAATGAATTCAGTTTTATAACGCAGTTCTACTGAACGAGGATGTTTGGAGTGCCCCACAAGCCTTTTTT